TTCCGTCCTCACACCTGTCTGTGTAAATATCCTCCACTCTGTAGATTTCATTTCTTTGTCTGTTCAGAGAAAACACCAGGATTCCTATTTTCATGACAATTAGTAACGTTCATACTGTTTTCCTCCTTTAGGCGTCTCTCCTCCGCTCCCTCTCCCACCCCTTCTCACCTCTCTGAGAGTTTAGCTGTGTAATGTGTGGTGTGTGAAGCGACAGGGGATGCTTTATTAATGTGTGGGGAGGCCTTGGCGGTACCCCTGCCTCCCCACAATAATATGAGATGAATAAATCTGAGACACGCCACAGGCTCTCGAGCACCTACAGGCGCAAACACACCCACATGCACATACACAGAACTTAAGTCGCGGACCTGGTCAATTCCTGGGGAAGAAAACAGCATCATAAAACTCTTATCACTTTAGAGCCCTCTGCTCTTCAGCACACACCGCCATCTCTCTCTGTCTCCGCTTTTTCTTTTTCTTCCTCTCTCTGTCTCTCCGGTTGTCCTTGAGGTGGCAGAGGGGTGGTGTCAGCAGGTGGAGTGGGCTGGGGGTGAAGAAGCACAAAGCTTTGATGCTTGTTGGGTCTCACTCAGCTGGGCAGTATACAGCACCGCAGCTCATCCCAAGGCTCTGTATAAATTCAACGCCAGTGACAATTTACAGCTCGCGCCCATCCTCAACATGACACACCGAGCAGAGCTTCAAGCGTGTCTTGTTGCCATCTCACCAAAGAGAGGCTAATTTATTACAGTGTAAAATCCACAGAGCAGAGTTAGGGGGGGAGGCAGAGAAATAGGGAGGCCTTGGTCTGGAGACTTGGTGTATAATATGCTTTTTTAAAAACTGTGTATATGGAAAAGGGCTGCAGTATATGCAGGAGCACATTATCCCTCCCTGCAGTGTGCCAAAGTGTTTAGATATTCCATATTTCATCTGCTTTAATATAAAACCAAAGATGCTATTTAGGGTCCAGTAAAGTGAGGATAGTCACAGTTTAGTGCCTTTTACGTCAGAAAGTTTGGACATCAATAATATTAAAGCACAAGCTAAGTCTACCTCTATCTCCCTGAATCAAATTTAGTCTTAAAAAAGGGTAAATGTATTTAAATATATGCCATGTCTTCCAGAAGGTCTTGACGGGGCTTCCTTTGTACCCGCCGAAGAAGAACGATGAAGAAGATCTCAGTTAATTACATCACGTCACAACTTATGAGACTGAACCCCAAGTTCCCGAGCCTGCTGTCACAGAAAGAGCTGACCAGCACAATCAGGGCTGACCTTCAGAATCCATTAGATTTATGTTGTTTTTCACTGGCACTTTCCTTCTCGCTGGTAATTTCCATATTTATCAGAGCTGATCATAGTTTGACATCCTTTAATTTTTTATTTCCTCCTGGCGAGCTGCGAGAGAATGAGCGGTAATGTGCAGTTAGTGCGGCTCGTGACTTTGGCAGGTGAGAAATATGCTGAGGGAGCTCTTTGATTTGGTAGCGTGGGCATAAATTTTGCCTCCGCTGCCTTCACTCACTCATTGTCAACTCCCCCTCCGCCCCCTGCTCAGCCGCCTCCCTCTCACTGTAGCGTACGCCTCCATTCTCGTTCTCACCTAACTCTTAGATTTTTTTTAGTCATGTTCTGAGCTGTTGTGACAGGCCAGTGGAGCCGTGAAGTTAAAATTAAAGAGATTCGTAATTGAGAAACATAACCTTTCACGTGTAGGCACTCGACCACGTCTCCATGGCGGGATGAAGAATTTACGTCACAAAAACGGGCGCCTGATGGATCGCTAACATATGTAGGTGCTGTATTTTGGTAGATCACAGTTACAGCACTTCACATAAATCACAACAGTGATGTACAAATACAATTATATAATAAGTAAGTAGAGTCAATGTGATACTAAATTTAATACACTTAAATAGATACTATATATAAAGAAATATACGCATTAAAAAGGCCAAATAAATAACTATGGTTAAACTAGTTGCAGGTAATTGATGTAATCCAATTCAGTTGTATTTATATTGCGCCAAATCAAAGCAACGGTCACGTCAAGGCGCAATATAGCAGATATGAAACCCCAACCACTATGAAGAAGCACTTAGCGACAGTGGGAAGGAAAAACTCCCTTTTAACAGGAAGATGCCTGCAGCAGAAGCAGGCTCAGGGAGGGGCGGGGCCATCTGCCACGACCAGCTGGGGTGAATAACAATAGTAATAACAAAAATAAAACCACTCGTGACATAATACTTCTTCTTTGGGCTGCTCCTGTTAGGGGACAGAATCATCCACCTTACGTCACACCGACCCCCTGCATGCCTTCCTTCATCATATGTCCAAATCATCTCAACTTTGCTTCTCTAATGGTTTGTCCAAACCCTCCGACATATTCATTTCTAACCACTGCATAATGGAAACATCTCTCATGCTGAAGACGCACCAGCCGTCTCATCCTAACACATGCTTATGTTTCTTATTTCCAGCACTGTGTGGTCATTTGCTATGGCTATGTATATTTTGGTTTGGCAAATTAGCAAACCCCCTCTTTTTCCCCCCTGCATGTGGCTGATCTGTAAGTGCCAACATGAGACACAGAGGACAAAACTATCCGTGTGTTTATATAGTATCACCATTTTTGGCCATGATTTTGAATTCAACCCAGAATAGTTATGAAATGTTTACTAAATCGGTCAATCAGCTGTCAGTTTTTACAGATATTTGCACTCATTAATCCTTAAGTTAATGAGTTATGGCAAAATATAATGTCACCTGCTGGTTCCAACTTGTCATGTCCATATTATTTGATGATTTATATTTCTTTTATATCAGCTTTGTAATAAAACTATTAGTTTCAAAAAACCCATTTTGGCTTGTCAAACAACTGAAGTGAGAGTGATGCTAGTTTGACGTTTCCTACTCTTGAGGAAAAGCATTCATTGGTGGAGGAATGTTCTCTGTTTGTACTTTGATTCCTGAGAACTGTCAGCAAAGACAAACAAAAAGATTTTTCCAGAAAGGCGAATGAGATCATTTGTGACGCCTTGAGAAAGCTACCTTTCTTTCTCTTTCTCTTTTCCTCGTGTCTTCCAAGCTGCTCTTCCAGTCTCGCTCCACAGCCACCCGGCTGCTGATCTCTACTGACACCTTGAGGTCAGGAGACGCTTCTGCACAACTATGCTCGACACTCAAACGAAACTTGACCCTAACCTTCGTGTTACCTTTGTGCGACACACACCTCGGTCCGATTTCCTTTTATGTATAACCTAGCTGTGGTGCTTGTATCCTCCAGGTTCCCTGCGGGTGTCAGTGTGCCTATGGAATAGTGGGACTTAATTTTGTGCTACAGTGCTTGGCTGCGCACAGTCAGATACAGAGGAATGCAGAGATACAGACACATAAACACAACAACTACTTGGGGAGCATTTGTGAGAGCCCTGAGGAGACATAGTCTCACACACACATACACGAGCAAACACACGCATACACACAGATACTCACAGAACGATGTGGGATAAACAGTACATCCATTGTAAGCTCCAGGAGCCTGCTGGAAGAGATTGTTTTGATGAAGCAGCAAGGGCACACTAGCACTGAGACTAAATGTAGCATGGCTATGATGGTTGAATTCCCAGACAGTCGGGACCTTGGCAGCTGCCTCCAGTTTGGCTCACAACTTTCTGGGTTCTTGGTTTTACTGTAGGGAAAATGGCTGTGTGCCTTTTTCCCTTTTCTGATTGCAGCTTTGCACTGTACAGTGAGTGTGTGTATCTGAGTGTGTGCGATGGCTGTGCTCTTGTATCTGGAGCCTACACGGTGGCCCGGGGTCGAGGCCAAAGTAGAATTTGTAAGTGATGGAATTTCACAGACACCGAGCACCCAGCGGCCAGCGAAACCGCAAGCACTCACATTTACAACAAACGCCCTGCCCCGCTCCGCGGAGACTCCTGAATGGCAAAGCCATTTGTCTCTGTGAAGGGCAGAGGGAGGAAAAAGCGAAATAAAATCAGAGGCAGAGTGCTTAAATGGAACAATGTTTTTTTTGTTTACGACTCCAAACTACTCAGACAGACACGCGTGTGCTCCCACACGCAGAGAAGCACACACTCATTGCTCTGAGGTTAAATTGGAATTAAAGAGAAGGAAAGGTGCATACCCTGTTGCTAATTAGCATTTTCTGTGCTCAGCAGAAGAGGTGGAAGAATCGATAAGATATTAAGTTTGTGTATCGCAATGAAGCTCGCAATCACTTTCATCCATTAGCAACAGCAGATTAGAAGAGAAACACGAGCCAAGAAAACAGCAAAACTTTAACCTTTGTGGTTTGAATGAATAAATCCTGTTTGGCTTTTTTATGTTATTTAGCTTTATGTTGCTTAGTTTTCAATATCAGTAATGCAATCATGCTTGAGATGATTAGAATATAGTCATTCACACTGGTATGAAGAAATATGATGTTGATGTTTAACCTCAAAAGGTTTAGTGGTCCTTGTGTGTGCAAAAATACACCAGTAAAGCGGAAAAGCTCAAGAAAAGTCAAACACATCTGTGCAACACCATCTCCAAGGAGTATGTGTGGAGCGTCGAGCCACAGAGAATTCCTTAGCAAGCCTGAAGTCTTAACTCAAAGAAGACCTCTATCAGGTCACACCTGTTGCAAGCAGAGCCTGACCCTATAGATGTATAATTCACCTTATCTATTGAATATTCTGTGGCGTGTGTTGGTTTGATGATTGATTCATGTGTATCTGGCTGAAAATAGACTGTGAGGTCAGCCTGTGTTTTGACCCAACCTATCACACCGGACTTTTATGGGTTACATGTATATCTAAGTTTAATACCAACTCTCAATTGTTATTTTGTGTCCGAGAATACGTTTTTGGAGTTGCTCTAAAGGTCTGCTAGAATTTTATGCATTAACAGCACCACTTCTTTCTCCCTCTGGTACCCTGTCTTTACCTTTCTTCTCCTCCTCGCCAACTCCTCTCACTACCCCTGTTTAGACCACATGAGTGCAGAACGGGAGAAGAAGCTGGTCTTTCTCACCGCCCGCGTTCACCCCGGAGAGTCTCCCGCCTCATTTATTTGTCAAGGTAAAGTTTTAATGGGAGGTCATTGATTCAAATGCAGAACCACTCACCTGTGTGCACAGCAGCGTATGTCAGCATGCACTGCACAATGCGGTACGTATACATTTTGCTGTTAGTAACCAGGATGTTTATTGCTACTGTTGACTCATGTTTTACATCACTTTTTCAAAAATTCAAAATCATCGTTGCACGCCCTGAAAATGAAATGAAAAAAATGAAGATTTATTTTATAATCCGTGGTTTCTCCAGATGATGTAACGGCTCAAAATCCTTGTTTAAAGATCTTTCATTTGTTTAATTTTTTAAAACTTTTTATTTCTATTAAAGAGCCCGTTTACCAAATTATCACAAGACTCAGAAAAACAAATATCAAGAGTACCAAAATGTCTGGTCTCCAGCTGAGATTACATTATTATTACATTATACCTCATTAGCCTTTTTCAAACTGGAAAATTCTTTCCAAACATGTTAAATGTAGCACAATCACATTTGCAAAAAAAAGTTGAGACACAGTGTAAAATGTAAACATTTAAATAAAGGTGCAACGTAAACATGTCAAATGTTGGAAACGAGAAATGCTGTTGTTGTCATCTCAATGGTCTTGTCTGCTCCTCTTGTTGTATTTTTCCATTTCATAAAACACTAAATGCTTCCAGACAGATCTGGACTGCACACAGGCTGCCTGTGCTGTGGATAGAGGCAAAACAAACCATTAAACCAGACTAATTAACAGACTAGCTCATCGTACTAAAAAAAAGCTCAACATGTGATCAATAATAACACATCTCTGATATTGTCTGGAAACTATATGTAATGAAAAGGGATGAGCAGTCAGTCCTTTCACACTTACAAAGGAATTATAATTCTGACCTTGCACCTGAGTATAATATGCTTGAAACTTAACAGAAGAGATACCTGAGCCTATATTTTTCTATATAACAACTCGAACTATAGTCCTGAAATACAGTTGTGTTGTGGTGTCTTTGCTCCTGAGCTCTGGTAACTCAAAACTAATAAAGCATCTTGAAAAACTAGGAACCTTTGGGAAATTGTCTTTTAGCAGGATTTAATGGCTCTGTTGCTCCTTTCCATCGGCTCAGAGTGGTCAGGTTAGCTCCTGCTGGGTTCCTTTGTTTATAGGTAATGGGACTGAAAAGGAAAGGTAAAGTGTGCTCGCTCTATCTATCTATCTATCTATCTATCTATCTATCTATCTATCTATCTATCTATCTATCTATCTATCTATCTATCTATCTCAGTGTGCATATGCATCATCATGGATCAGATGAGCTGGCTTTTAGTCCGCCGTGTGTCTGTTTTTCCAGCGCCGTCAGCTCCATTCCATTTGTATCGATTTAGGCTTGACGTCTCCTATTCCTCCCTCGATTCTGATGATGCCCCTCGCTGTCCTTCCTTCTCCTTTTGTTTCTCAAAACTCAATTAACTGCCAGCCTGCCTTTGGTTTTCTTTTCAAGTCTATTTTCCTCCGTGTGTGTGCCTGTGTTTCATAGGTGTGATTGACTTCCTGGTGAGCCACCACCCTGTTGCTCAGATCCTGAGAGATCATGTGATCTTCAAGATAGTCCCCATGCTAAATCCCGACGGAGTCTACCTGGGCAATTACAGGTACACAAATGTGCATGTTTTAATTCTTAATTTTAAACCCTCCCTACACTAAGTAGAACTCACACATTACATGGTTTTGTATCACACTCTGTGGGGTTATATCCTCTTAACTCCACCTTTAGAGAGCTTAATGAATTCATATAGCTCACAGCAGTGCATTTGTTAGAAGATAGTATTTGGCTGTAGGGCTGTTCTCTTTGCCAGTCTCTCTGTCCATCCTCTCCTCCACTCTGTCTTTAACACTGCTGCTGCAGCTCTGTGGGCATCCTCCTCTCCTCTGTTTTCCTCTCCTCTCATTCCCTTCTTCATAATTGCCTTTTACTTAATAGGCTCAGCCCTCAGAATACTAATGCTCACCAAGATATGCAACACACTCCCACTGTGTTTGTAAACGCCATCTAGTGGTGGTGCCTTGCCCCTGTCCCCAAAATACATGTGCAGGGATTCTTTAGTTGCTTCCCACAGTGACAATCTCAGTAATACCATTCAGTGCGACTGGTGATGGTTCAGGCTATTGTCATTGGCTTGTTTTTGCACTGAGTGGTGATAACCAGCATATTGACAGTAGGTGAATAGTTATAGTCCTCATCCGTGGACACAGACACACAGAACGCATACACAGAAACCACACAGCTACCTCAGCAGGACACAGTGGAGAGCAGACTGAAATGGATACATGCAGAGCAAATAATCAATTGCAGTTAACCTGGGATGAGTATTTTGTTCATGGCTGGCTGTGTTGCTCAGTTGCCCTGCAGTATCAGTAACTCCTGTGTCATTATCACTGGCTTTAGCAAATGTCAAAGATCGACATGTCACAAAGCACAGCAGATTAGGGCGCATATTTAGATGTAAGCATCCCATTATGGCAATTTGACACTCCTGGTAACACTATAAGGTTGGGCGCCACAGCAGCCTAATGTTTGGGGCACGTGCCACATCATCCGTGGTTCAGCTCCCGGTCAGCCGGACTTTGATTACAAGTTCAGGCACTTCCCTCATTCCCAGTCTGCTTCTAATGCGTCTACCGTTTCTTACCAATAATGCATCATGTGTATTTGTTGCAAGGATTTTTTTCCTCTCTTCAAACACTTGCCGAGCTGAATCGAGTAAGAATTTGTGGCCTACATTTTTCTGTCCTGAATCAATCTCAGTTTACTATGTAGGGCATCATATTTAGCAACTGCCCTTTTATTAGAGGATTTGAATTTGTGTGTGCAATAAATGCTAGTATACTCGAAGTAGAAAGATAGCCATCGTGACGCCACCCACTGGTTACAGAGCCCTCAAGCTGAGCGTTGGTGTTTTGCAACCATACAGTGAAACCGAGGACACCACAAGCTGATTGGCTAATGAATTGTGACTGATAAATAGTTAGTTAGAGAATGCACTTTACGATCCTCCTTTATACCTTTAATAGTTTTATTCAGTAAAAAGTGAAAAAGCCTTTAAAGTCATCAGAAATGTATTTACTGAGGTCACAGAGACAAGGAGTCGAGGGCTGTTTTGTGTACAGTCAAAACCTATTTGCAAACAGTGAAGTCGCCCCCTGCTGTCCATTAAAAAGAATGCATGTTTACATATTTTACAATTTACACTGATGCTGCTTCCATCTTTTATTCCATGTTTGTATATTTGGAGCTTTTTACAAAGAAACCAAAGTGCTGAAAAAAAGAAAAAAGATGACAATTTACAAACCTGATATCCTGAATGTTTTAAAAAAATCACTCAGTCATTTAAGTAAGGAAGTGATTTCAGGCACAGGGATGCATTTTTATAACGTGGCAGTCTCAGCATGTGATACTAAAACCATCTTTTAATTAGTGAAGAACTGTATAAAAAAGACAAGAGGTCACTTTTAAACTTAAGCTTTGAGCAAGTGCAACTTTGCACCGTTTGTGGCCACAAGGTGCCTTTAGTCATTTGTAAGGCAAACCGCATTTGATTTTCCATTATCTCTGTGTGTGTGTGTGTGTGTGTGTGTGTGTGTGTGTGTGTGTGTGTGTGTG